GAAGACTTGGGCTTATTGTATAAAAAATGATCTTAGTTTATTAGATCTAAATGAAAATATGACAATAAATAAGACGCAATGGAGAAAAGGATTCATGTAGCCAACCCTGCGTAGTGGAGATTTAAGGCTTTGTTGTTGTTGTAGAAACAAATCATTATTTATTTGCTTGTTCTCTTGCATTATTGTTTGTACTCTGAACGTAAGTTCATTCACATTTCTGTGCGTACAGGTACCCATTGTTCTTGACAGCCTTGAAACTAAGAAGATTATTCTGGTTCACGGGGAAGGGTTTGGAGCCTGGTGTTGGTATAAGATTATACCTCTTCTTGAGGAAGCTGGACTTCATCCTGTTGCTCTGGATCTAATGGGCTCTGGAATAGACCACACGGATGTTAACAGTATATTGACTTTGGCAGATTATACAAAACCTCTTCTTGACTACTTACATAACCTACATGAGGATGAAAAGGTTAAAAAATTTTGCCTGAAAGTTCTTAAGCTAGCTAATAGTGTTATATATGATGCTATCATTTTACATTTCTCCTTAACAAATCGATGTTGCATGGCAGGTTATTTTGGTAGGTCATAGCTGTGGGGGTGCATGTGTATCATATGCTCTTGAATGTTTTCCAAAGAAGGTCACGAAAGCAGTCTTTCTCGGTGCAACAATGGTTTGTGACGGGCAAAGACCTTTTGATGTTTTTGCTGAGGAAGTAAGCCACAATTATTTTTTTTAGCTAATTATTTGTGATGATAGATAAATTAGGTAGATTAACTATTGAGTTTAAAGATATTTGTAATGATATCAGGATCTTATATATAAAGCCCACAAAATGCACGTAGTGCAGAAAACAGGGAAAATAAATTGTTCCCCTTCTAAAAAATGAGCCTTTGATCATGTATTTATATGAGTTTGGGTGCTGTACGAAAAGCTACATAAAAATTAAGAAATTATTCTGACTTTGAGACATGTAGCCCAAAAAGTATTTATCCAAGAAAATATAGTAATGCACTTTGGATAATTGACATGTGAGTAGTCATTTGTTGGTGTGTGTGTTTTGATAGCACCAATTAGTTGGAAAAGTTGTTGATAGAGAGTTTGTTGGTGTAACTTCAATTGGTAGGGATATTTGACCCTGAGAATGATCCTATGATGTGATTGAGTTGATCTATTGGTCCAATGATCATCTGATACCGGAGATAACCCCAACCACTATAAAACACAAATACTGTTACTGAAATTTAATAGGGTTACAAACAAAGACTTTAATAATAGAAAATTAACAACACAAATATAAAAGACACCCTCAGGGCCTGGATGATGGTGTTGGGCTATGGGGCGATGGCGTGGAGTTGGGTGGATGTGGAGGATGCTGGATGGAGGCCGCAGCAAGGAGGGCTGCAGAGCAGAGGGTTTGCTGCAGTTGGAGGAAAGGAGAGAAAAGGCTGTGGGAGAGGCTGCTGTAGTAACCCTGTGGTAGGGAGGCTTGTGGCAAGTGGTAGGGAGAGGGTATATGCTGTAGTAATGGAGAGGAAAGGAAGTTACAACAGCAAGGATGGGACCTTCTAAGGGCTTACGGCAGTGGGGAGGGACCTGGGAAGGAGTTACGACAGTGGTGATGAGATTTGGAATGAGTTACAAAAGTGGTGAGGAGATTTGGAAGGAGTTACGACAGTGGGAGTGAAGGTAGGGAGGTGTTGCGATCCAACAAGATTGTTGGGTGATTGAGGGTATTAACGGGAGGGGTGGAGGGGATTTTTCAGAGGTTGTAGGGGCGTTGGGATGAGATCAACGGCTGAGAAGGTTTTGGAGTGCGGGAGTGAGGCTGGAATGCAGAACAACATGATCTGGAAGATGTGGGAGATGCAGGTGGCCAGCTAGTTTGTTGGACAACAATTGATGGCGGCTTGGAGGGAGGGTGCAGGTGGAAGTCAGAGAAGATAATCACCATCGTGGAGAGGGATACATATAGAGCACCACCTTATCTGTCAGATATAGCCCTCGAGATGAAAACATAATGCCGACGGTTGTCCTCACAAACTAAAATTAGAAGATAACCTAAGATAAATCCTAAGACATAAATACACATATAAATAAAAGAGGGATGAGCGCTAAATGAAAGTAGGAAGGGGGAAAATTCCCGCCTAATGAAAAGAAGGGGGGGGGGGGGGGCGTCAGTCCGTCATGTCTCTCCATTCCC